GGCAAACAGCGTCAGAGATATCGTATCATTACGAGCGTCTCAAGCCGTTCGAAAATAGGCGAAGCGCAAGGCGAAATAGTTTAAGTGAGTGTAAATGGTTCGCAAAATTTGAAATGCTCGAAACGCTGTTTTCAGAGTCGGTGATGAAAATTTCTCAGCTTAAAATATACAAACGACCTTCTCAGACATATTTCTTAGATAATGATGGAAGGAATACAATTTTTGACGGCAAGTTCGATTTTTAAACCACCTTGAAGTGTAGAGTTTCTCACAAAAAAAATTCTTGAAACCGTCGTTTTGTCAAAAACCAAAATTTCTTCGCTCATTACCTATATTCATTAATTAAAATATATACTAATTTTGTTTATTTTTATTTTGGGGTTTCAGATAATTTAAAATAAACACCTTTTTTGGAGTACCTTCTGGAGTTCGGCTACAGGAACAAGAGGATTCAATATTTTTTGAAATGAATCGTTTATTGTTAAGCTACATCAAATTCTGTCTATTAACATATTTTATATTAATTCATAGAAAAAAGCATCTCAAAAAAATTAACCAAATATAAAAAAATTATAAAAACTTAAATCTTAAAATAAAATCTTGGTCTTTCACAGCATCAGCATAGCGATATTAAAAAACCCATAGATAAAATCATTTTTTTTTTCATAGATTCTGATCATAAATCATGATTTAACATACTTGGGGCCGGAAAAGAGTTTTAACTTCTAAATTAGTCACAGAAAAAATAATTCAATGACAAAAATACGAAGATAGTAACATCAAGAAACTCAAAGCAATTTGGTCTGTAGAAGAAAAAATCAAAATATTTTTAAAATACGAGTAAGAAATGTAGCTCCAAGGCCTAGTAGAATAATTTCAAAGAACTCCAGACATTTTTGTCTGTTGAAAAAAAAAAATTCCGAGCAATTTCATTTACTACGGTAATAGTTCCCCAGTTTAAGAGACTGGCTTTATAGATATCATAGTGAGTACGTAAAAGTATGACTCTCACCAAAATTGGTTATCTCGACACCAACAAGTCGAAAACATGTTTAAACCGCTGATCTGTACAACAATAACGAGTAGGTTTAATTAGATGACAGAATTGACCGAGAAATCATTAAAACCGAACAGTTAGATTGAAGCTTTGATTGAGATAAGAAAGATTTCGCTTTAAAATTCCAGAGAACAAGGGAAAGTAGGAAGCTAACTTATGATGGAAGTGGGAAAGAGATAGAGAGATAAAGCCATCTTGTAGATGAGAAATTTTTTCTTAAATATCATACTAAAGAACTAGCAGATTCGGCCCCACGTTGCTGTTAGTTTTTGTGCTTTGTCCAAATTTTTATTCTCAATTGGTTTTGCAAAAAACGATAAAAATTAAGCATCATCTAAGTCAGAATATTAAGTTTTTTTATTATATTATTCATCTAAATATTTTTTTTTGCTTCTCAAAGAGCTTTTGACAGAAATGTCAATATGAACGCCTCGAAGTAAGCCTAACGAACCATTCGGATATATGCTTAAGTTTAACATAAAAGAGTGGCTTGGCACCTGAACATATGCACCTACCCATATATACCACGATCTATGCTTTTATCCAAACCACACTAATTTTTGTCAATCTGTCGGCGATCTCTTTCCTAAAAAGAGAGTATTATTTATATTTGCAGCAAATCGAAGTTTGTTCCGTGTGTTCGGTCGATTTCCAGGATGCCATTTGGTCATACCTTCAACAAATTAAACCATGCAATAAACACATTTCTTAAAAATACCGATCCACTCCCTTTAATAAAGGAATTTCAAATAATTCGTAACATAAATACGATTTTTTTCGACTAGCTCGGGCTAGGCAAGGCAATAGGTCAATCCCTGGACCACGACTTTCCGGCGAGAAAAATGGTATTTCTTGCTAGTTGAAGCAAAAAGGCACTTATGGACCAAAACACGATTTCATGGTACATTTCATTTTTCCGCATAAACCTCCACAGAAATCATGGAAGCTATTTGTCTAACTTTCAAGACTATTGGTCCGTAAGTAAGGGTAGTTTGCGGGTCTATATAAACCTACATTAGATTTTTGACAAAATCACACGCCAATTGGTCGGCGACTTTCGGAGAACACCGAGTCTTTACAAACGTATATCTTAATTGTTATATATAAGATATATACGAATAGACTATTAAAATAAAACTTATATAATAAAAAATAAAATCATATGCTGGGCAACTTTCTCCTACCCTATTTCAGTCAGTTTTGACATATATAAGCCGTAAAGTGATCTCTACATGGTTTTCGTCTACCTTATAATTTCCCTCTATGACTCTTTGACCATAAGCCAATCTGGCTCAGTTTTAAACCAAGTTGGTCCTCAAACAGATTGGTGCTTATGGTTTTTACTAAACTAGGTTATCCCTATATGATAATTTGATTTTAATGTGTATCTTACCACAAAGAGGAAGAAAAACTCAACTTAAATCGGACATATCTAGAAAAAAGTGCTTTGGTTGTATTACTTTCCAACTTACTCTGCCTTTAAACTTCTAGCCGATCCATTTAACATCCACCTTACTAATACTAATTTCTTAATATCAAAATATTTTATAGCGTAATTATGAGCTTCTAATGAAATATTATTGTTTTTCGATAAGTAAAAAAGTCTCCGCGGTTTTGGTCACTAGATAGTTTTGATACTCTCATTTCGAGCAGCACTAAGCCGACATTTGATACAATATTTTTCCTAAACCGTCATTTGCGTAAAGTTATTTCGATTTGAAAATGAGTGAAATTTCGTCAATGATGCAACCGGTTCTGTTCGGTCAGTCACTCAAAAAGCTGATGAAATCCTGGGGTAAGTCTAACATGCCAGTTGTGGGGATATACGTGTAGGGTAGGCATTAGACATCAGTCATGTTGACAGCTTGGAATCCTTTAATAAAAGCCAGTCACTAAAATAAGTTCGATGTTTGGCTACCACATGAATTATGTGAGGCAAACACATTTTTTTGACCGTATGACCATCAGTGAAACCTGCGAAATCGAATCGTTTCATAAAGTAGTCATCACAGGCGATGAGAAATGGATTCCACACGAGAGATAAAATATTAGATGAGTGCATAAGTTCGTGCCCGAAAGAAATATATATATATTATATATCGTTGGAAATGTGACAGTCCGAACTGTAAATCAAGCATAAAATAACTTCATTTTGATTTGAGTTGCTTAATGAAAAGACGCATGGAAGATGGACAACAATAAAGATCATATGCGTCATATTATGTTTATTTGGAACGTGAATTGAACGTCAACAAATCAACTGCGTTTCGTCGTTTAAAAAAGGTTGGGTACACTTTGAAGCTCGATACATGGGTGCCACATCAGTTGAGTGAAAAAAACAAAGTGGACCGTATGTCAACAGCAATTTCTTTGCTTCGACGGATCAAAAACGAACCTTTTTTGGATCGGCTCGTGACTGGTGATGAAAAATGGATCCTGTACAACAATGTTCAACGCAAAAGAACATGGAAACAGGCACACGAAGGGGCGGAACCGATGTCGAAAGGTGGATTGCATCCGATGAAGGTACTGCTGTGCATTTGGTGGGATATCCGAGGCGTGATCTATTTTGAGCTCTTGCCAGCTGGAGAAACGATCACTGCCAACAAGTATTGTCAGCAATTGGTCGAATTGAAGAAAGCAATTGATGAAAAACGTCCGATTTTGGCCAATCGCAAAGGAGTTCTTTTCCATCATGACAACGCCAGGCCACATGTTGCAAAACCGACCCTGGCCAAACTGAAGGAGATGAATTGGGAAATCATGCCGCATCCCCCATATTCACCCGACATTGCACCTTCTGATTATCATTTGTTTCGATCGCTGCAGAACAATTTGAATGGAAAAAAATTTAAAAATGTGGAAGACGTCAAAAACCACCTTGACACCTTTTTCAACGAGAAACCGCGCGATTTCTATGAATCAGGCATCCGTAAATTGGTTGAACGTTGGGAGTGGATTGCCGAACATGATGGCGAATACATAATTGATTAATAAAAGCGCTTTCTTCAAAAAATTTCAATTTTAGTTTGCACTTGAAATCGGGCACGAACTTATGCACTCATCCAATATAAAAAATCATGGTTAAAGGACGGGACAACCTTTTGGAATTGGCGGGTGAGGCTGAGTGTATGGTGCGATTGGAAGGAAATTATTATAATCCATTAAAACTTGAAGAAATGGTCAATTTTCAGTTCTACTATCAACAATTAACCAGCTTACAGCGAGCTTTACAAAAAATAAGAGAAAACACGTTAAGAATTGATTTCATCATTACAACCCCAGACACTGCTGGAATTATGAAATTATCCGTAAAATGGCAATAATAATAATATTTAGTTAAAATAAATTGATCTAGCTGGGAAATAATTTTTTTGGGAATTAATGGATTGCACTATCGAATGATGAAAAATAAGGCCGACGCCAACAGACCAATGTCGATTCAAAACAGCAGAGATGGAATTCGTGAAGCTCATAAGAGTATACAGCAGCCAATTTGCGATTTGGTGGTGAAAAATTTCATAAAATTTCTGTAAGCGCAGATTTTACTGATATTAGATTCCATTAATAATGGCATATCTTCTTCTTGCGTTAAAATAAACATCGGATCATTTATCTTAAAAAAATGCCTCCTCTTATTTGAAAACCCTGTATTTTCGTATTATTTACAAAACCAATTTCCAACATTTAACATTGGTAATATTAAGCGAACTACAAATATTTGTATACACTTTTTTCACATTTACTCCACGCAATGCAACGAGACTCAGCACGCGGCTAAATTCAATTAAGAATGATAACAGTAAGGAGAAGGGAATTTTTGTTTTTTTTTTTTGCTAAATATTTATTTGGATTATAAAATCAAATGCAGGTAAGTAACAAAAAAAAAAATAAAATAAATAAATAAAAAACAAAAACAACACAATAATATCTATATACATACCTCACAAATAAACTGCAAAAGCTAAAAATGTAAACGCCTTCAAATGTAGTTTTTATATAGACGTTCGGTTGTATGCAGCACGTACATATATATCTATGTGTGTATGACAATGCATGTGATCAATGAACAGGTGGGCGATTGTCTTGTTCTTCTAGCGCGGCGCGGCGCTGCTCGGCGGCTGTTTTTGTTGTTGCGTCTGGAGCGGAAGTGCAAATGCGCACAAATTAAGACGCGTTTTCACTTGGAAGATTTTCACTTTGTGACAAACACTTTTCTAAATCTATTTACTTATGTGCGTTTGTTTGTGGATTTTATGTCTTTTACTTTATACTTTAAACAATTTATTTATTTACGATATTTGTGCTTGTTCTTTGCTAAGCCGCACACATACATGTGTCGAATAAACATATTTATTTATTACAAGAGCGTGTTAATTACTTAATTACACTTTACTTCAAAGTAAATCGATTAATTGAGATGATTTGTGTAAAGTTTTCTTTGTAAATATTTTGCTTTGAATTAATATTCTTTTTTATTTTTGTTTTATTAATTTATTATTAATTTTTATTAGTGTTTTATATATTTATTATTATTATTATTTTTATATTTTGCTTTATTTATTTATTACAATTAATTTTTATTTTTGTTTTATATATTTATTTATTATTATTTTTATTTTTCTTTTATTTATTTATTACAACTAATATTTATTTTTGTTTTATTTAATTATTTATTTTTTTTTTTAACTTTATTTTTATTATTGTGTTTCAATATACTGAGAACTCGTTTTTCTCATATATTTTTAATTAATAATTTTTTTTATTTATTATTATTACTTTTTCGGTTATTATGTTAATAGCTCGGTGTTTTTAATTCAGTACTTGTTTTTGTATGAATTTTCGTTGCACTTCAAAGTAAAATCAAAAATTGAAATTGTCACAGAAATTCTAGTTTTCGCTACCAGTTTTTAAAACGTTTTAATTTTTTTTATGAATTTTTGCTTTTTTTTTGTATTATTTTACTTATTCAATTTAACGTCTTGATTTAGAAGGCACAAATGCACTTTAGTCGGCATACTGATGCTTATTTTTGTACGCGCCTTTGCATGAACACATATGTATATAACATATATGTGTGTTTTTCAATTCTAACCAGTATTTTCTGTTGATTTGCTCTCTACGTTTCGTTTTTAAACTGCCACCACCCACCAGGTGAGCCACAACAACTTATTGCTTACAGAGTAGATACATAAATACATATGTAGGTAGCCAGGCAGGCAGGCGCAATAATATTTACAGCTGTTGCTTGCTGTTTGTTATTGGTATTTTCTACTTTTTTGTTTCAAATGCAAAGCAATGAAAATATTATTCATTCATTCATTCATTCATTCATAAAGAAAAGCTTAAGAATGTTCTTTGTGTCTTTTATAAATATATTTGTAATTTTTTAGTTTATCAAAACACACAGTTTTAAAACTCTTTGGCTCTGAATTACCACTAGTCGACGATCACATTAAAGTCATTGATACTTATAACGCTTTTATACTTATTACACTGTTAGTTCTCAAAAATAAATAAATTCGATTTTTGTAATTTTGTTTTATTTATTTATATTTTTTATAATTAGAAATATTATGAATGGCACAAACCAGTCGATTTTATTTATTTTTTTCACTTATTTTCTTTCTTTATTCTCTTCCAAATCCCAACTGGATCAGTGTTAAGTAAATGTTAAGTGCGCATGCGCCACCATCCGCCCGTCGAGAAAACTACGTTTAAACCAAAAGACCGCTCGTGAGAAACTAAACGAACTGAATCAAACGCCTGTCCACTGAACATAACCAACTGCAGTGAACAGCACACTTGTTGATCGTGTTAAGCTTGGCGAATGCTACAGTGCACAGTGGGTCAAATATCGTGAAATTTCATTTGAAAATAAGTCGACATAAATTTTTTCAAATAAATATTTGAAAAGTATTACTAATGTCATAGCGAGCGAAAGAAGGCAGTTTCGGTAAATAGGTTTTAAGCAAAAGTTTTTTAACTATTTTATTATTGTGCAACGCAATTAAAAAAACTTCCAATTTGAAAGTTTAAAAGCTTTAAATTATAAAAAAAACCTCAATAACGAAGAAGAAAGAATGAAAGAAATATGTTTTCCATTTTAGGAGTGAGCGTGACTACGTTGAGCCAAAAAATCAATCATTTAATATGATTTTCGGCCGTTTTTTCTGAAAAAACTTAGCTACATTTTCAATTTTCTCGAATTGAGAAAATCCAATTCTCTATCTTTCTTAATAACCTCGTTTCAAACATATCGCGCTTAAATATGCGGGGTAGGACTTCAAGAACTTCATCGCAGTAATGAATGCCTGTCGTGACTAAAATCCAAAAGTTCCTGCGACAATCGGGTCTTTATACCGGAACGACCGTGACTTTCATCCGGACAATGACTGACACTTCCGCAACATTCTCCAAAAACTATTTTGGGCAATATTTTTGAGGTAACAGCATGATTTTATTCTGAGTGAAGGAAGTGAACAAGGCAATCTTCTCACAGTAGGCCCAGAGGACCTGGATCGCATGGATCGCGCACACACATCATTAGCCGATGGAAATTGTGAAAAAGTGTAGAACAATCAAGGAAGTTGCTGAAGATGTTAGTATATCGGTTAGCTCATACTTAGCAAATATTTCGAAGAGTTTGAGCACGAAATTCACTAGTTCTTGCATTGTTTGTGGGTTGATTTCAGTGTTGATTCTAGCGCAATGCCTGACTTGCTCTTTCATAAATATAAAGTTAAGAAAATTTGGCGATTCTCAACTAATTTTTAATACCATTTCATATTCGAATTAAATTACGCCTCTCGTGTGGATGGCGGCAGGTGGGAAACCTTTGGGTATAAAAATAATAAAACGCTGTTTCGAAATTCCTGAATTTTGACCAAAAAAGAGGAATTTTTGAAAAAAAGTCAATAAAAGAAAATAAACCCGTTCGTGCCAATGGCATAGTGCAGGAGAGCAGAAGAGCAAATATCATCGGATTCAGCCACCGTATTTATCCCAGTGCCTTTTGTCGGTACCCAAACAGCTGAAAGAACTACTCTCAAGGAAATATGAAGAAAAGGTTAACTATTTCGAGGATTGAAAAATAAGCTGACGCACGTATCTGCGGGGCTGCTTAGGAAAGTGACAGCAGTTCAAAGACTTCCGAGTGTATTTCCGACCCAAAGTTTTCCGGATGTTGTAAGTAAGTTTTTCATCCTGTCCGCTGTCCGGTATCACCTTCAGTTGCCTCTGCGAATTTTCTTGTACGACCTCAATCGAGACGAAACGAGTTCCACGGAGTAGTAACTTGAGTTTTGGTATCAAAAAAAATCGAATGGGTCCTAATCCGGTGAATACGGTAGTTGATCGATGGTATTGCACAAGTTTTTGATCTCAAAATCATTCACAACTACAGTTCGGTGCGATGGCACATTATCATCATGAAAAATTCATGCATTGTGGTCCAACAACAATTTCGGCGGATATTTCGCGGAAACGCCTCAAAACGCTCAAAAAATACTCATATTGATGGTCTATCCCGTTGGCAAGAATTCACGATGAGCCAAACCGCGAATATCGAAAGGAAACGATGTCCGAAAACTTTCTGGTCTTAATGTAAGCTCATCATAAACCATCATCACCAAACATTTGTTAAAGATATTTTTTGCCTCAACACAAACGAAATTTGTCCACAGTGCGTCAGTTTCATCGTTCCGTCAGTGTTTAAATTATAGCGGAGCGTAACCGTTGACTTGTTGAATTGTAACAACTTACGTTGTGTATGTGTGTGTGTGTGTGTGTGTCAAACGGAAATACTACAATGCTCCAATAGAGCCAACCAACAGCCAACATTGCTGCATTTGGAATTCACTGTTTCAATCTGTGTGTGCATGTGTATGTATGTAGGTATGTGTGAGTGAGACTTCGCGTATTTGGCGCGTGTTTCGTTCCAAAGTCAGAGCTAACGCGTTCCAAAACAATAGAACAATATTTCTATTTTACAGAACTCGCTTTGCTCAGAGCACACGCGTGAGAGTAAAGTCAAAATCAGAACTAATTAATTGGCGTTTGGTGCATCAGCAACAACAAAGGCACAACCACATGCACACCACCAAGTATTTGCCACCAGCAAGCAATGTTATTGCTCATGATCAAATGTACAGAGAAACTGGAGGAAAACCTAAAGTCTACATTGAGCTGCAAAATTTCACAGCCCCAACGCTTTCAATTAGTTGGCGCGCCATTTGGGTACTCAATCAACTGTGAGTAGTTTTGGTATGCTGGAGTGGGTGCCAATTTCGTTAAAAAAATTGTTAGTTTGTAGCAAATTGAAGTTAGCGATCACGTTGATAGTATAAACTTGACCCACTCTCTTTTGTGGATTCCAATGATGTTCATGTGCAAAAAATTATAAATTTAGGGTTTTCGAGTATAACCCTTCCGGTATTTCGGATAGGCTTTGTAAAAGATTTACTAAAGTCATACTTGTTTCATTCCTAAATAGTTCGCCCTTTACGAACATCTAGCATTGAGTGCTTGAAGAGCGGCACTTAAGTCTTTAGGCAGATTAGAGTGACTTCGAAGGGGCTCTAAGTGATCTATTGCCCAGCCGTCGTCCTTATAATGTGGAAGCGGCTAAATTACTACCTGGTCTTTCCAAGGAAGGGAGGGCTTCCTCTTCCTTAGCTTCCAGTCAGCTCCTTTGCCACCTGGTCTTTCCAACAGAGTGAAGGTCTTCCTCTTCATCTGCTTCCAGTCAGCTCCTTCACGACCTGATCTGTCCAACGTAGTGGAGGTCTTCCTGTTCTTCTGCTTCCACCGGCGGGATCTGCACTTACTGGAGTATTTTTATCCATCCGAACCGTAGCCGCTGTTTCCTGATTCGTTGAACTATTTCAATGTTAGCGTACATCAAGTACAGCTCATGGTTCGTTCCATCGTTTGCGCATATTCGTTGTTCCCAACTAGTAGATGACCATACATCTTACGCAAAACCTTTCTCTCGAAAACCCCTAACGCCGACTCATCGGATGTTGTCATCGTCCATGCCTTGCAGAGTTTGGTTTTCGTTCGTCGAGAGAGGACTTTACTTTTCAATTGTCTACTCAGTCCGAACATGTTGCCAAGAATGATTCTGCGTTGGATTTCCAGGCTGACATTGTTCTCCATTCAGTTTTGCAGCTCATATTATTATCTCCATCAATAAGTTAGAAAAGTCACACGAACTGCTCGGAGAGGTCCTTTCCGATCCTGACGGAGTTTTTAGTGTTTTTTAACGTCGCCTTTCAAAGCCGTATAAATTTTGGGGGAATACCAAATTCGGACATAGCGGCATGAGGCAACTGCTATCCGTGCTGCCGGAGGTGGCTTTAAAATCGACGAAGAGGTGGTGGGTGTCGATCATCTTTTCACGAGTCTTTTCTCAGACATGGCGCATGGTGAATATCTGATCAATGGTTGATTTACCAGCTCTAAAGTCACACTGATAAGGTCCAATCAGTTATCCTTATCTATCAGTATCTCAAGCTGTTCATACTCATGCATCTCGGCCTCTTTCTTTATCTTTTTTGTCCACAAATGCGTTTTGTTTCCCAATTCAGCTCTCGGTATCTATCCCAACCCGCACGTGCTATGGTCGATCACAAGGTTGCGAGGTAGATAGTCTGTTTTCTCTCTGCTACGACACGACTATCCTCATCGTACCAGCTGTTTTTGGGAAAATACGAAATGACGACGATGGCGAAATACTTTAGGAATGAGTTTAAGCTTAACAGATATGTTCATGGCTGACTTTTCTGCCAGACTCAGCTCAAGCTGCCTTAGAATATTTGAATTCGTTACCAATAGGGATGAAATGTTTGTCAATTGCACTTATCTGGGTATCGAGAGATCGCCAAGACTTGCTAGGAATTGCATGCGTTCGGCAGACGGCAACAGAACTTGATCTTACTTGATGATGAAAAGCGCGCAAAGCCTTTAATCAGCAACGAATGAAGCATCAAAATGACGTTTACAATTGGCGAATAGAAAAACTATGTTCTTTTGAACAGGAGACACAGCAGGTACAAAACTTCGGTCGTCTACAGAGTATCTATCGATGTGTTAGCATCTATGTGAACCGCCTTATGTATTTGATATGTAAAACTTTTGTTTCTGCTGAGTCTTTCGAGTACATACCAACGGACTCTTCTTAAACGGCGTCCCAACAAATATTGCTTGCCAACAAGTCGTTATGCTTTGTAGCCACTGGAGCGATTTTCGGCCGATCTCCTATTCTAATTTGCGGCCTTCGAACGGCCGACGGTTTTTTATGAGAAGCTTTTATTACATGTCAGAAATACACTCGGAAGGGTTGACATTCCCTGCCGAGGGGCAACCGCAATCAGAAAATTTAACTTAATTTTTTATTTAAAATAATTTTCTTTAACTTTTGAATCTTGAATGGTAGTAAGCACTCGGCTACCTTGGCCGCATTAGAACCCACGATATCCTATACCTTCTTATGGCATTGAAATACTTAATAGAGGAACTTTTCAAACGTAAATCTGCAATATACATTATCCATACCCTTCAAAACTGATTCTCGAAATATGGAAATTTCTATTTAACAAAGCTTGTTTTTCGCTTCACACCGTACTGTTATTTTTATTACTGTATATATTGACATAATAAATATATTTTTAGCAATGATGCTTTTCCCTAATTAAGTTTAGACTAAAAAAAAAATTAATTTTGTATCTCTGTATGTCATTCAGTTAGCCAGTTAACTGTCAAAGCTCTAGGCGATCTTATTAAGTGGACAACACGAATTTAACAACACGCAAATGCAATTTGACAATAAAGAGTAACAACTAAATCAAAGCACAGAATTGAGGAATCAATTTGCTACTCTTTTGTTTTCTTTCTTCTTGTTTTTGTATTATCCAAAGAAATCTGACTCATTTATTTATTTATTATTTAATCAAATATAATAAGGATATCAATTTGAAGTTCATAAAACCTTTTGGCATTGTTAATATTTTTAAATAAGTATTTCGCTTGCAACTCAATCACTGTTATTATTCTGTTAATGACATATATACATACATACAGCAACGGCACTAATGGAAAAGTATGAAAAATGATATTTTAATTGAATTCGTCGTCGTAATTAAAATGACAAAGTGTTTTCGATATTTCAATATATATTTGGCTCTTATGTATGTAAATATATGCGTACACAATATGAAATTGTTAGTAAACCAAAAAAAAAAAATCGTATTTGTAGAGTGCGTAGACAGTTTATATGTACATACTGTACTGCAATAAATCAATCATTTCACTCCTCTTCCATTGTAACTATGTATGTACAATAATAGTAAATATTTATTGGCAATAAAATTTCTTGCTTTTCTAAAATAGAAATTTAGAATTCACCGACAATAAATCTTCAAACATCACTGATTTGGCGATTTGTTTGATGAAAATCATAGATATGACCAGTTAGGCGTAGGAAAAGTTTTGCAAACGTTAATTCATTGCATACATCACACGAATGTAAATATGTTTGCACCAATTGTAGGCATGTTGATGTGAATGTAAATATCTTTTTAAGCAAATTTATTCTTTATAACCAACAGTTACCGGTCTACTATTGGAATATGGGTTAAATCGACACCGGCCCACCAATATTACTGTAACCATCAAGATCACCGTCACCGTCACCGTCACCGTCACCATCACTGTCACTGATTTGCGTTGATCGTAACAAAAAAATTAGAGTACGCACAAATATGTATACATATACACAAGTTTATGCATGCATGTATACTTGTAACATATGTATGTACAGGCGTATGTAAGTGCATTCACGTTTTGTTGTCGAGAATTGAAAGTAATGGAGTGAATAAATCAATTTTGTTATGATTGAATACAAAGTATTACAGGAAACCAGAACAGGAACGCGATCTTTTGTGGCTATGTTCTACATACATATATAACATTCAATATGTTTTGAACTTCGTTTCCTTTTTCCTTGTAAATGGTGATAACAAGACTTTTGTAGGCAAGAGCATCCCAGTTGTTGGAGTTCAAATCCCAATAGAGCACTGCTTTCATGTAAAGAGGAATTTATCTCCTGCTTCATTTTATTGTATGTGAGTCTAACCTCAACATGTTTGTCATATCGTTTGAAGTGAAGCCATTTTATATATTGACGGCCTTTTAAATTTAGCTCTCCTCCAAGAGCATTTTTTCTGTTTGCTCATCGGATATTGAATCACCGAAGCATATCATTGCTAGAATTATCTGATGATGTAAATGGAGTTAGGTCGCCGAAAAAGCTGCGTAACCCCGGTTGACAAAAACAACTTCGGTCCCTGCCGTCCTCTTTATGAATGATGCTTAATTCACTTGTTTGGACTTTTACTTATTAGCAACGCAGTATTTAAGAACTTAATGCTGAAGAAACACCGATTTTATATTTCATATGTGCTTTAAGAGGTTAATATATGTTTGGCGGTCATTAAATATTCTATAATTGTACTATTTTAGATAAAAAAAATACTCGCAAACAAATTTAATAACGTATAGGATGTGAATTCAATTTCCGACTACTGACAGGAAGCGTACAAATTAAACATTCTCTGCAGAAATAAAACTGAAATTTCAATGAATGAACATACCGCATAATGACAGTTTTCTCTCTGCAACATTCTCTCTGCCAACAGCTGTTTGAATTCGGCGAGATTCTAACTAAAACATCTCGTTGTTGTTTTGTGCGGTGGTTGAATATTTCAAAGAAAATTTTAAATTAAATATGTTGTCTTCGAAAGTGCATTATTTACGTTATGCAAGAGCAGCAAATTTGCTAAATCTTTCTAATAAGGTTAATTGAATAAAAATTCTTCTTTAGCGGCTATAGCGGCTTGTGACATAACCTACAAATAAATGTGTTGTGTAAATTCATTGTTAAACTAAAAAATATTTTGTTTTGTTCTAGTTTACACCTGATATCGTGGACACATCTTGCAACACAACAAATGTAAGGAACTTTCATGCTGCAAGTCCTGCAAAGATCAATGTACATCGCTTGCTATTGCCATCGACACTGAATGCGCTTGCATTACCAAATAGTGGAATACGTTTTGCCAGCGCTGATGCTGTAGCCACAAATGTTGCCACAGATGCCACCAAAGCCGTAGTCGATCTCTCTACTATACCTGAAGCACCCGCCGCACCAGTAGCAGAAGCTTCCGCACAAGTACTCAATGCCGCTGGGGAACCCACATTCGCCTCTATAGGCCTTGGTGGTTGGACGCCTGTAGGCCTTGTAGAAAATTGTATGGAATTCTTACATATCAGCTGTGATATGCCATGGTGGGGTGCAATCGCAGTTGGTACCTTGGTGGTACGTACAATAATATTTCCACTTGTGATAATGGCACAACGAAACGCCGCGAAATTAAATAATTTCATGCCTCAAATGCAAGTTTTGCAAGTTAAGATGACAGAGGCTCGTCAATCTGGTAATGCTATAGATTCGGCGCGTTATGCACAGGAAATGATGTTATTTATGAAAGAAAAACAAATCAATCCTCTAAAGAATATGATTGTACCATTGGCGCAAGCGCCACTCTTTATTTCCTTCTTCATGAGTTTGCGTGCTATGGCTAACACGCCTGTGGAGTCAATGCGTGATGGAGGCTTATTCTGGTTTACCGATTTAACAGTTGCTGATCCAACATTTATGTTACCGTTGATCACCAGTGCAACGCTTTATTTAACCATAGAAATCGGCACAGACAGCGCACGTTTATCAGCTCAAAACATGTCGATGATGAAATATGTGCTACGAGCATTACCTATAGCTATCTTCCCATTTACAATGAATTTCCCAGCGGCAATTTTGACATATTGGGCTTGCAGTAATTTCATATCTCTGGGTCAGGTGAGCAAAATATTTATTTATAAAATTTTTCAAATGAACTAATCATTTTATTCATTTTAAGGTGGCTATGTTGAGAATACCAGCTGTGCGTGATTATTTTAAAATCGATAGAATGGTTATACACAAGCCAGACAATCTACCAATAAAAAAGAAAGGCTTCGTCAAAGGCATGAAGGAATGTATGTAAATATAAATTTTATTATAATATCTGATTGACACATTGTAATATCCTTTTTTGCTCACAGCCTGGGAAAATATGAAAATAAGCAAAGAAATCGAAGAACGACAACGTTTGGATGAAATCCGTTTCGCGAAAGCGGGTAAAGGACCTTTAGTAAAGACATTCAAATATGATCCTACAAAACCACGTCCGGCAACAGGAAGCACAAGCAGCACGAGCACATCAACAGTGCAAGCGAAAAAGTCCTAAAGTGGATAGAAAATAGTTGTTGTTATATATAGTTTTATTAATTAAAGCCTAACATTGTACAATAAAACAAAAGAAAAACTACTAAATCAATCACAAATTAATCATGCTCTTGGTGAGATGCACTGATTTATCACTTCAGCTAGATGTTTATTCTCCAATGCTGCTGCCACACGCTCCTTGTCTGCAAGTTGTTTATTAACAGCATTTTCTGAGGCATGAGTGCCCGGTGTAATCTCGACATTTACTTTAAAACGTGGTGGTAAGGATCTGAGCAGTTTTACACGAATAGACAGGCCAATTAATGTAGCCATTGAACAATGCGGAATTGTTGGCGTAAACTTTATATTTACTTCATTTTTACTGTCGTCCACATTGATCAAATCCTCTTGTACAACATGTAACTCTTCCAAAGTAAGCGGATGTTCCGGATCATTGATATTGCGTATTAGATCTAGATAAATAGAGTAAAAATAATTTAATAAATATATATGCAGTTCTGTAATATATGATACCTACCAAAAATTTCACGTGTATCAAATGGGTCCGGCACATCTTCGTTTTCCTCGTTAATGGTCACCTCGCGTTCTTTGCGCTTTCCGTAAACATTTGGATTTATATTTTCAATTTCTGTAGGCATTTTTAGCAACGATATTAAAAACACTCCAAATACTACAATATGTTTTAATGTAGATTGACATATGTCAGTTCCAGAAAAAAAACCAAATTATATATTTGACAGTTAACAGAGTTTCGTTGTAAGTTATTCATGTGCTATCAGTCGCCATGAAAACATTAAAAAATATGTTCAGAAAAATAATTGAATAAAGAAAATGAAACAAAACTAGATCTAACCAGATAAGTCAGGAATTGAAAGTTTACAATATCGGTTAGTGTTTTTTTTTTATAACAATATATTATATATAATTAAATTGTTTCAGCTAGCTGTTCAATGTGTTCCCAGCGTCTTAAATTCATTTGACACTAACACATGCGACCCTGTTGGCATATGCAACTGTACATACCTGAAAAGGAGAGAGAGAGAGAGTGTGTTATCGACTTTTTCGCCGAGTGAATTGGCGAATTGGTTTCATTTTCAATTTGGTCGAGTTTGCCAACGGTTGTTTTGGGGCGATTTGTGTAGGTTAAAAAATATGTATATGGATCTGTATATGCACAAAGGATGTGAAGAATTTGTAAAAGATACAAAAGTGCATACGAATAAAAATAAAGTGCATATTTGTTTAATTAGCAACAAAATACTTGTTTATTATTTTTTAAGCGTATTATAAGTGTTTTATAAATGTTAACGCAAGTGAAACAGAAGTTGAAGAAAGCGAAAACCTGCTGAGCATCCTTTATTTTTTTTTACACACTGCTTATTCTGCATCTTTCCTTTTGCATTATTACCTTTTGTGTGCGCTATTCGTGAACTGCTCCACCCTCGACGTCCTTGTGTGGGGAACATATGCATATGAATATACTGTGAATTATCTGAAGTGTTACAAAAGAAGCGGGAAGTGTTATTTATGTTTGATGGAGTGTAGTAGACTACACAAAAAAAAAAACAACAAAGAAAAATAAAGTATAACAAAATAACTGCAACTAAAACGCCAACACATTCGAAGCCAACTATTACAATAGCAAGAAATTGAAAGTAAATCTTGCAGAAAAACCCGTCGCGTCTTTGGGTCGCCATCGCTGAGCTTCATATACCGAACAACTTTGCAGTTGCGCGTCCGCTGTTCTTTCCATTGTTTGTGTTTTGTTTCTTATAATCTTGTGTGTACTACTCGTGTGTGTGCAATTTAAAGGAGACATATATTCTGTCGCCGGCATCATAGAGTCCTTTGAAATTATTAGACGACCATTATAATTGGATTGGAAACCTTTTCACAGCATTCTCGACGCCCTAATATTAAAAGCCGGCATCAATATGCATACTCTTTTCAAACCCAATTAGTAGTATACATACATGTGTGTATCAGTGTGTGCGGTCTTCTACGAATATCTGTGAATTTTAACGAGATGAGCTGCTTTTGATGCTGTTGGAGCTAACGTTGGAAAATTTATTAACTACTTGCCGTTGTCGGCATACGTCGGTGTTGTTGCTTGTGAAAACGAAAGCTGTAGATGAACAACAGCAAAGTAAGTACATACATACATATGTAATTTTAAGGTACTTATGCTTATGTATAGATACATAGATTGTTGCCACTCCCTTTATCCTGTTGCTAGGAGAATATATACATAGTATGTTCTGTTCTATGTGCAAAACTTATGTTGGCGTAAAAAACTTTCAACTTTTTAATGAGTAATTAGATCTCTGATAAATTGTGTGGAGACTATTATGCAGGATTTTTGGCGACTTGTGTGGAAATTTTTTCTAAAAGAGCAATTAGTGGCTTTTCAAAGAAAGATTTAAGTACATACATATATACATACATATACACGTGTATATATATATATAATATTTAATCAAAGCGGGGTAGTAAGCATTTGATATGCGATATTAAAATATTTTAACTTCTAAACATTCTTCATGAATATTTGCCAGTTGTTACATACATACATATATATTGGGTTGTGTTTTAAGTTCACAATACCAATTAAAGTAGAAGTTTGTAACAAAAATGAGTGTGGTGAAGTTATTAAACGTGTTTTCGAGAGTGTACGTATTTTTGTGTTTATTTTTATTTTATTCTTTTTTATATACAATATTTTTATTTTTGTGAGCGCATTGCGTTGATTATTAATTTTCCAAAGTTTCCTTAATGATGTATTAATGGCAAAGCTAATGCTTTTGATGCTCAGTTTAATTAAATTTCATATTTATTGGTGGTTATATCTCTTTAGTAGGCGCATTGTGTAGGTATACATATATGTATATGTGTTTATGTGTTGCTGTTTGAATATTCAACTCATTGGTACGTTGGCTTGTTTTTGCCTACGCGCTACTGTATAAATTACTTTCCATTTTGTGTTTGTTTGTTTGCTTTTTTTACTTTCGGTAAAAATATCACTTAACAGCTAATGGCGGCGATAAAATAATTACAATAATGTTTTCTCATCAAAAAATTAATTTCTCTAACTTATCATATTTCCCTTGACTATTACTATTTGTGCTTACGTTGCAATGCACATTTATACATACATATACTAATGTATGCTTGGTTTAGTTATTAATAACAGTTAATTATGACATACATACAGATGTATGTATGTATGTTTACTTTTGAGCTACATACTACATACACATTTATGTACACATGTACGTATGAAGGTGTGATAAAGAGTGAGTGCGTAGTGTTAAAAGGGGAAAGATGCGCATAATTTTAATTAATTTCCAGTGCAACATAACCTTGAAAATGTCAATATGTACTACATTTTTATCAATATATAATATAAACATTCTTTTGTACAAACAAGTGATTTTATTGTGCAACACACACATAACGCGCACAAGTTATATATAAATTTAATGCATGCATACATATGTACATACCTAAATATATGTATGTATGTATGTATATGTTCATTAATTTTATGCGGCCCGCTATAAGTAAATATTTTGAATCCAAGAAAGGCCAGACCAGACCGGCAGGCAATCGTTGTCGCTGTTTGTTGTTAATTATGTATATTTGCAAACAATGCATACGCTTCAATTGGCTTTTCTTATTTTGTGTGGGCACTATTTTCAACTTTTTGTTTTTTATTTTTGTCTTTCTTTCTTTTCACTTTTTACTTATCAACCAAGTAAATTACGTCTTGGTGCAAACAGATTGCATTTTCCTGGCATTTAGCAGCAACAGCTCCTATACTATACTGCATTTTAGGGCGTTTCACATACATATGTGCGTACATACATACATACATATGTACACAGCTGCATCAGTATGCAGGCTTTGTACTTGTTTCACGTCTTTAAGTCAATATTGCAGACATTTCTATAATATATGCTGTATGGTGCAGACTTATGTACATATATATATAATACATACATATGTACATTTGTATGTATATGCATCACTATCGTCATCAGTACAATCACCACAAAGCGTCAACAACGACAATACACAGCGCAATCATTAACGCCAACGCCGTCAAGCACATCAACGATTAAATGCATATGCATACATATATACATATATATGTATGTATGTATTTTTGTACTTACAGATGTATGTAAGTTGATTTGCATAGCATACTCTTTGAGCGCATTACACAGTAAATGTCTAGCATTCTCGACACGCCAATCTTACATACGCATATATATGTATGTACATAAATATAAACATATCTGCGTATACTACATACAACTCGTAAATATATAAAAAAATATCTATTGTGGCTATGTTTATCAGCAAACAACAAGGCAGTAACAACGGCAACTGAAAAAAAGTGAAATCAAATGAAAATTAAATTAAATTCAAGACAAGAAGAATATTTCCATTAGGGCGGCTCGAAATATTTGAAGGGGCATCTTTTTTTTCATTTAAAGCGAACAATTCCTTGGCAGAACAATGCTAAAATTTAGAGAGTTAAAATATTTTAGTAATACTTTGGAGGGATAAATCTGAGGTAGAGGTTCAAGAATATTCCCGCGGTAAGGCATGCCTGTTGGGAGAGGCCACTAAAATCCCAAAGTTTTCGCAACAGTTGGCTCTTTATACTGGAACGACGGCCAATGAGTGTAAAACTAATTTGTGGAATATTTTTGGCGGCTACAACAACAACAACAACAACAACAACAGGAGTACAAGAAATTTTTAAATTATCAGATATATATATATATACATATTTATTTATAAATGGCGCCTTGTAACAGCTAAAGCTAACTTCGGCCGTGCTCACCTCCAATTTGATGTTTTCCAAATAAATTGAGTGACCTCCAGCCTCTTCCAAACGCTAGATGATTTTTTTGAGAAGTTTAATTCATGTGAGAAATACCCTCGGAGAGGTTGACATTCCCTGCCGAATTATTTAAATTAATTTTCTATAACTTTTGAATGCTGGTCGTAGCAGGATTTGAACCCCCGCCTTCCGGTGCGCAAAGCTAACCACTCAGAATGAGAAATATTGTACATTTATTTATAACACTAATAGATATTTAAAGTTTTTTCTCTCTAATTTCTTTGGTTTTGTTGGTTTTCGTATTAAATAATAGTATATAGAGTTAAATACTATATTATTTGAAGCTTAAAAATTAGACTAAAAAATATCAGAAATACTTACGTACTTATGTAAGTATCGACGTATATATACATTTTTTTTTTATAATTTTGGTTGTTTGTCAAGTATACTGCTAATACTGTTCAAATACTTCTATCACTAAAAATCGAATTTTTTTATCCGCCAACAAAAACTGGTGCACCCTAATGCGCACTATTTGCCTTGTCCACTTACTGGCTCGAGAGTGCATTCTAATTTTATTACTTTTCAAATGCAAATGCATTGCTATGCGTTTTCTTGATAATATTAGAGAATGTAATGTTTATAAGAATGCATCAAGGCAAACGTAATAATGAAAAGCTACAAAAAGAGTATGTAAATATTTATAAGCAATCCGTTTTTTTATTTTCTCTTTGATAAACAATTAGAAGTGCTATACGTTTCATCTATACTCGAGGCAATAGGTTCGTAAATATAATATATATATGTATATGTGTATGTGTATGTGTATGTGTATGTCAATACATAGTTTCTTCATCAATCGCAAATTGCACGCAGCAGAGCGTTTTTTTTTTAGAAGCATTACCTCATCTTTATCTCCGCTAGTCTATAGTTCATTAGCACTTTTCGCACTTTGATTTCAAACCGAGCTCAATTTTTTTCTTTTTTTTTTGTTACTTTGTTTCGATCATTTCCGCGCACGTTGCTCGCGTATGCTGCCATTAGCTGAGACGGCGGCAGCAGCAGCAGCCGCGGAATGTGAATGTGAAGTGCTTGTTGTGAGTGAGAAGTGTGGGGAGCAATAAGCGTGTATATTTATGTACTCACACACATACATACATACAAAGCCAAAAAGAATGCTGAAAAAGTTAGAAGGCAGAAAATATGGCAGGTAATAAGTAGAGTAGACTGAGAAAGTGAAGAAGACGAAATAAATGGTAGAAATGCGGGAATTGGTGTCAGGCTGTTGTTGTTGTTGTTGTTGTTCCTGTTATTTTTCGACAATGTTTAGTATTCTACAAATTTTTTGCGCGTTTCCAATTCCACTTTGGCTTTAATACTATATGTATGTATGTTAATATGCACAGTCCTGTGAAAAAAATAAAAACCGACAGCCCAGCCAGCCTGGAAACTCCATTTTTTTTTAATAGTATCAAAGATGTTTGAATGCGGTTATATGCTATTGCGTCTTTAATATAAAATTATGGAGTCAAGTTAATATGCGATGCGTCGTAAAGTTTTTTCAATATTTTCATATTTTATTTGTTTTCAGCATCTTCAATTAGAATTTACAACTAATTAATTCAAAGTAATGAATGTTTTTTTTTTTCAAAATTAAAAGCTTTATTGCGAAAAATTGCTTACAGATATATTATTCAATGTATTGTCCTTCGCTAGCGACAACTTTCTCCCATCTTTCCGGCAATTTTCGGATCCCGGCTCGAAAAAGGAGTCCTCTTTTGACGCTATCCATGAAGCAATCTATTTTTCCAATTCTTCGAAGGATTGAAAATGTTGATCTACCAGGCCGTGTGCCATCGAACGGAATAGGTGGAAGTCAGAAGGTGCGACATCTGGGGAATACGGCGGGTGGGGCAAGACTTCCCATTTCATCGTTTCCAGGTACTTTTTGACTTCTTTTGTGACGTGAGGCCTCGGTTTCAACTCGTACGGTACCCAGTTTTCTTCTTTCTGAATCATGCCCAGGGCCTTGAGACGTTTTGAAATGGCTTGCTGACTCACTCCCAACGATTCGGTAAGATGTTCTTGGGTTTGGCACGAATTTTCATCAAGCAATGCTTCTAGTTCTTCTTCTTTAAAGGTTTTTTCTCTTCCACCCCCATGTGTGTCTTCGACATCGAAAGCGACTTTTTTAAAACGTTGAAACCACTCCCGAAACGTTCCATCACTCAGAGCAGCATCACCGTAAGTTTCTGAGAGCATTCGATGCTTCGAATTATAACAGAAAAGGAAAC